CCCCCCCCAAAAAAAAAAAAAAAAACTCAACACAGAAAATACAACTTGACCCATTATCCAAAATCACAACTTGAGTCATCGCATGACTTCAACATTCAACATACATTAGTAAAAATCCAATCTTTATCATATCAGTTAACTGACTATGTAAATAAAAATTGAAACTTTAGCAGCCATAAGTCAAGCATATAGTTATTTAAAATAAAAAATACGAAAAGGTGTCAAAATAAAAGGGAATCTGCATACCGAGCCATTGAAAAATGATGTGATCAAGAGCATGAAAAACCCTTTGTTGGTTTTTTTTTTTCTACTTTTGGCTTATCTTGGAATGTCCCAAAAAGTACACTCCTAGTGGTTTCTTTGTAGCTTCCCACCTTTTTATAATTATATTTTTTCAGGTATTTTTGAAATTTAAAAACGTGTTTCTTTTGTACGAGTGACGACTAAAGACTGACAAAAAAGACCGCAGGTGCACAAGAAGAGGTGAAATAAAAAGGAAAAATTTCTCTGTAGTCCCTCAAGTTATTTCCGATTTTAGTTTGGTCCTTATTGTACTTATTAAACATACACTTTTGATCCCTCTGCTTGTAAATCTTCAGCATTACACCATTTTAATTTTCAATGTATTATGTTAAGTTTATATTCTTCCTCATTATTTTACTGTAATGTAATTTTAAAAAGAGTTTCAATACAATGTGTTTCCTATATAAAGGACTAAAAATATACATTTTTATTAATTAAAAATTAAATATGTTGAGCTATATATCACAAGGATCAAAATTAAAATTTATTAATATTTAGGGTATCAAAAATGCTACTTGTTTCACATTCAAAAATGTGGCCTAGTGGTCAATAAAGTGGGTTAATACCATAAAGTTTCAAGTTCTAATTACAACGGACACAAAAATAATACTCCATCTGTTTTAATTTATGTGAATTTATTTGTCTGTATACGGAGTTTAAGCAGAAAAAAAAGGACTTTTAAACTTGTGGTATAAAATAAATAAATCATTGCATAAAGATAAATTATTTTCAAATATGAAAAGAGGTCATTCTTTTTTGCACGAACTAAAAAAGAAATATATTAACATAAATTAAAGCGACTATGTGTTTCTTTCTCATGTGTTTGAGTTTTGATAGATAGAGTTAGTTGGCGCATATGCTAATGGGAGCTAGTTGACTGCTTATTAGTCAAGATAAGCGCCAGAAATGTTTAAAAATGTTATTATCCCAAAGAGAAACCAGATTCGAGGAATTTACATGATTAGTGACATTAGAATTTAGAAAGGTGACATTGACCCCTTAGGATTGAAACAAATACAAACTACCCCTTATTGAAGTGTCAAGGAACTTTCATTTGGTCTGAAATAAAAGAGACCAGATCACTTGAATTTTAGAAAGTACACCAAAAATATATAACAAAGTGATAAGCATAATAAATATTATATGACCTAAAATTTAAATCTAGGTTTAGGGGTGAGCATTCGGGTTGAATATGAAAATTTTGGTTTGGATTTTCGATTTTCAAATTAAAGAAATGACAATCCAAATCCAATCCAAATAAGCTCGGATTGGATTCAATTTCGGATTAATCTGTTTGGATATGTTGGATTTTTGATTTTGAGCTTATAAGTTGAGATATTTCTTCTTTTTTACAAAAATGAATATCCAAATGCACTACTCATATTAAATTGCCTGAAAAGTTCCTCATTCTCATCGCAAATCATCCAAATAAAGTATTAAAGTAATAATATTATTATCAAGAAAATGTAATGGAGACATTAAGATGACTAATAAGAAATAGCTATAGTAAAACCATATCCAAATAGAAAGTATTATGACAATAACTTAATAATCAATCTTGAATATATGAGATAATATCTAATGGGTAGGGTGTTGAACTTATTACATCTGACATATGGATAATAACTAAATATAAAGTATAAAAAAGTTCGAATTTTCGGATATCCAAAATCCCGGCGTACCAAACCATTATCTAATCCAAAATCAAAAATTTTAAAAATCAAATCCAAAATCCCGTAATCCAAAAATCCAGAAAAATGGATTTGGATTTGGATTTCAGGTTTGCCCAAACTATGCCCACCCCTATCTAGGTTTATACATTAAGATTTGTAGTGAAAAAGAGTTAATCTTAGTTAATACTAATATCCAAATGATAGACTAAGTGTATTTATGAAAAATACCTCATGTGTGTCGTTGGATAGCAATAAATAATAGCAATAATGGAGTAATGAATGACTCAGGAATATGAAAGAGAGCAATAAATAATGATAAATGATATTCAAGTAAATAAATGAATAGAGGTTATCCGACAAAGGTGAGATTCCCCGATAAGTCCTTTGACGGTGATGGAAATTAATGAGCCTTTTTAATATTCCGATTTCTCTTGGATCGGGGAAGAAAAGGCAGATTAATTAAGATGTAAAAAACTGAACTTTGTATGTATGAGATAAAGAGGAAATCTTTAAAGAATGTCAATATGTTGTTTTTTATAAAAACTGTTAAATCCCCCTTTATAACTACGTATCTTTTTTATTTATAAGAGTAAGCGGCTCTTCCCACGGAGGATTCACCATTGACTCTATTTATTATTATGGTAAATCAGTGTATCAAGATGTCAATCTAAGATCTTATTTCGGTTCGATACGTCTACCTACGAGACGATTGGTTCACTCTGTCCTGCCTTGACTGCTTATTCTGCCTTGAACACTGACTCCTATTCATATAAGATATTCTATCTTAACTGGCTCGTGAGCAACGACAATCAAAGAAGATAAGGAAGGAAGAAATAGCCTACCTTGAATACAGAAACAATTACCAGACGGATTGGCTGGCCTACTTGTACGTAATAGAATAGAAATCAAGGCAAATTCCCCTGATGGGAGTGAACATAGGGATTCCCCGACAAACAAATGCAATTCATTGAAGGCTTACGGATGTAGTACTGGACGGCTTTACCTACGATATTTCCTACTCCCACTTTTCATACAAAGAGAATGGGCAGCCTGGAAAACTTGGAATGATTACAGAATGCATACAAGCTTCAATTCAGTCTATTCTAAGTGGTCCATTTTGGTAAGCGGAGGGAAGAGGTCTATACCCATTGTCGTAGATAAAAGGGTTCCCTTTCTTACTTGATTGAGACTGAGAGTCAGGGCATCAGAGGGAGGGACTCAGAGCGAGTCTAGTCTCTTGCAGGATCACTGGCCAGTAGCCAAGTTTCGATCTCTAGCTAACTAACTTACAACATAGGCCGGAAAAGAGATTCAGAAAACCCGATTTTCTGTCTTAAGAACCTGACTCAAAAGAGAAAAGAAGACTGGATTTTTTGGAGTTAGCTCACTCTAGCAGCGGAATTGAATTAGAAAGCAAGACAGAATAGGCTCTTACCGCTATAGAAAGAACTTCCCTTGAATCAACTGCTATTGATATTAGCTCAGGGACTTCGGTGCCTTAAGCGGAAGAGGGGATTTCTTTCTCTTTCTGGCTGCTACGCTCCTTTCTTATTCTTTTTTTCTCTCTCTGAAGTGAGTGAAGTCAAGCTAGCCTCAGCAAATCGGACATAAGCAATAGACCTAAATCCCCGTCCTTTTAGAAAGAGGATAGCGATTCTCTTCCAGTGCTTTAATGTTGAGTTCAAAGAGTAACCTATAAGAAAAAATGGTAGGAATACCCGGAACCTAGCTNTTTTATTATATTTGCATGAAACTCGAGAAAATAGAGTTGTTTGAGATACATAGGCCACAAAACCATAGAAAATATAACTGGAAGAAATAGTCTCTAGAGAATAGTAATCCCAGAACTACCTATTACTGCTTTTCGAAGATGAGTGCTCGCCCTCGTCATTGTCTTCTATCGAGTCACTTCGACCTTGTTGATGACCTGTTATCTTCTCGTAATGTTGTCCCTCTGAAATCAGGTTATCGTATCTTTTTACTGACACATGGTAGTCTTCGAAAGCTTCCTTCATATCGACTTGGTCAACATGTAACATGATGCTTTTTGCCCCTATAAATATAATCTTCATTACAAACACAATGGTTCTTAACTAAAAAAAAGCTTTAGAGAAGCATTTAAATAGTCAAATAACACTATTCTTATTTTGTTTAAATAAAAGAAAGATAAAAGAAAAAGATCAACAATGGATTGTTTGAAATTTTGGAGGTACAATAAACTACTTTATATTAAATTTATAATAGCTGATCTTTACAGTAAAATGATGCTCGACCAAGAAAAGCAACAAAAAAAAACGGAAAAAAAAATGAAAACTATAAAACTGAAAATAGAGGAAAAGATATTGTTGGGAGTAAATTTAAGTTCATTGCCTTCCGTCGGAACCATTAAAAAGTACTAGTACATATATTTTGTTAATTTGCATTCCCTAATAATTTGAATCATTTTTCTCCAAAAATTTCTTATTAGTACAGTAGTACTAGATTATATAGGTTGATTTTGCATTACATATTTGAATAATATTGTCTAGTTAGAGTCGCATTCAGAATTTTACGAGCATGAGCACCACTATCTTTATATTTATTTGACAATATAATTTTTTTTACAATAACATAAGTTGACGAGCTAGATTTAATTGATATTATTAGCATTATGTATGTCCGACGAGTTTTTATACTTTGAAAACCATCAATAATAAAATCACTACTTACACTTTTAAGTATCTTACATTATGTATAGCAAGCTAAAAATTATTAAAAAATTCTTCATTCATCTGAT